ATGATTGTAATCCAAATCAGAAGAACTGCCTCGGGTAATAAACAGTGTTCCCTCATAACTACAGTGAGAGAATGCCATCACCTTGGGAAATGTGTTATTCGCAAGATCAACAATGGAAAAAAAAAGAAAAAAGAAGCCTAAAAAAAAAAGGCAGATGCAGCCACCGCAATGTAGAAACTTTAAGATGCAACAAATATTTTGTTTTTGGGTTTAGATACGCTGTAAATAAAACAACTTGGTGTAGAACCCTTTAGGCCCTTGCGAACAGAAAAAGAAAAAGAAAAAAGAAAGAAAAGAAAGAAAGAAAGAAAGAAAGAAAGAAAGAAAAGAAAAGAAAAGAAAAGAAAAGAAAAGAAAAGAAAAGAAAAGAAAAGAAAAGAAAAGAAAAGAAAAGAAAGAAAGAAAGAAAGAAAGAAAGAAAGAAAGAAAGAAAGAAAGAAGAAAGAAAGAAAGAAAGAAAGAAAGAAGAAAGAAAGAAAGAAGAAAGAAAAGAAAGAGCATTTCAGTTATTCTAAAAACAATTAAAACACACATTAACTATTTCATTTATGGACACAATATGGCAGAATTTATTTCTAACACCGGCAAAACACAGACTAAAAAAAACCAAAAATGAAGCTTACCATTGCGAAGGATTTGAAATCACGGTTCCTGTAGGTGGCAGCAAAGGACAACAAATATCAAAGTCGGAGCACAACACCACTGAACAATCAAGCAAGTTGCTTACAGTAACTTTATCATAAAAATAAGGTATTTTATACAGTCTTTAAGTGCATAATTATGTAAAGTGTTTTAATAACGATACAAAGTAGGTGCAATCGTCTGGCGTCCACATAAATAATTTCACACTTTCCACTTTAAGTGCTGTCTGGGCACTGTTGCACCCAGACAGCTATAAAGTGGTTGCTCGTATATCACCTCCCATGCATAAATACCATTACTATATTATTTTCCTGTTTTATTTTAAAGATCCATAATTACACCTCTCTGCACTGTATAAAGTCGGCGTTGCTTATGTAGTCTAATACTCCGTTTTGTGGAAATGGAGACCCCAAGACAAAAAAAAAAAATTTCACGAATCTGAAAGGAATCGTGCATCTGTACTGAAAGCATAGTATTGCCCAACCATTCTCGTGACCAACAGGTAACATGACAATCTTGTACTCTTATGTATGCTAAGTAAATTCTAACACTAACACACGCACACACACCTAAAATTGAGTAGGTCCCCCTTTTGCTGCCAAAACAGCCCTGAATCATCGAGGCAAAAAGTATGCTGTAGTATTTGGCACGAAGCTGTCAGTAGCAGATCATTTAAAATGGCAATACTCTCAGGATTTAAACCTTAAGACCTCATTTACACACAACACAAGAGCAAAATTGTATACTGCGTATATACGAGCGTATGTGCGTATATGCATGCACTATGAACTACAGTTCATTAGAAACTCTAATGAACTGTACGCATATACACTCATATATACGCACAAACATACGTATGCGCGTATAATACGCAGAAGTACGCTGCCCAGACGCATCTCTGTTCCATTCTGTTTTTGCGCATTTTTACGCTACGTAAATATACGGCTCCATACTCGGCTATGTGTATAGAGCCATTTATTTGCATATGGTACAATACGCACGTATGCGCAGCAGTGTGAATGAGGCCTAAACATTCCTTCAAGTAACTTAACAAATAACAAAAATTTAGCTTATTTTAATATCACTCGGCTGTAGCTCCTCAAATCATCTCTGATTTGGTGCTGACACTGTCCTTCCTTCTGGAGGGGGGCTACTTTTGTTCGCCATGGTCCGTGTGTGTGTTATAAAGTAGCCACTGCTCCAAGCTCTCTCCTGTGATGGACAACAATCTCAATACAAACTAGTAAAGTAAACATGAGATTGTAGCCCATCACATGATTGGAGTGTTGGCTACTTTACTACATACACAGGGACCATGAAGAACAAAAGTAGCCACCCTCCAGAAGGAAGGACAGTGTCAGCACCAATTCAGAGATGATTTGAGGATCTACAACTGAGTGATGAGCAAATACGATACTTTTTTGTTACTAGTTACGGTACTTGAATGCATTTTCAAGATTTAACTCCTGAGCTAAGTGTCTCTAAGTCCTATTAGTTGCAAGATGGGGCCTCCATGGATTAGACTTCCATGGAGACTTATAAGACTTATAAGTGCTATGTTAGGAAAGAAATCAACAAGTTCTTTGAAGAAAAGCACACAATCCGAACCATGGATTTCTGGTGTTTTGTGAGCTATAGCAGGAAAGGCGAATGTGTAATAATTGATGACAAGATAGTGACAGCATTTTAATCAAACAAATATTGAAGCTTACATTAGCCCAGAAGCTGCACATGGGAGCACTTGGCCCAAAGCAAGTCTGCAGAGAATGTATTATGGTGTGCTGCCAATAAAGCGCTAGTTTAAACACTCTTCTGCTATTGCATTCCGCTCATGCTATTGCATTCCACTCAAACAAAGGCAGGGCAACGACAGTGCCTCTGGCTGGAGCTGCAGATTTTCACAGCTCCCTGTACACCGTGCAATCTACTTTGGAAGAACTACGTCTCCTTAAGAACTGTATGCTTCAAGGAGGAAAGACAAAAAAAAAAAAAAATCAAGGCTTTTTGTCATTTACAAGGTGGCAACCCAAGGATTCATAAAGTTACTGTGCTTTTGGCAATAGGTGAGAGCCCCTGACCTGCAGATTTGTAGTTATGTGGCCTTAACAGGAGACTGCATCTGCTGTACTTACATGCCACTTGTTTGCCTGTCACTGAAGCAAGTCTCTCCTAAAGTGATATTTAATACAGTTCTTGACCAGTTTTTTAAAGATTTTTTTGTTCAATACAAAATTTAGAGTGCGTTAGCTTGATGATCATTTTTTGCGAGTGACAGTGGGTCCGAGAACCAAGAACACACACAGCTGCACATTTCCAGTTCTAGGCTGCGAGGGTAATTATTGGTAACTAATGTTTTACATCTGAAACTATAAAAATATCTCTATCCATCTAATTGTTCTAGTTTCTTACTCTGCCTCAAAACACAAAGGACTTTTGGGTCATCCCACCCACCATTGTGTGGTGTAGCTAATCCCGTTACATTCCCCATAATTTACAATAAATGTGAAAAATAACATTAATGAAAAAAATAACAGGCAGAGTGGGGAACCCTCATTGTTGGCCACAGGCGTGTATGAAGTTGGAATTAATGTGTATATTTATAAATGCTGAAAAAAAGTCAGTCCACATATAAGTAATTGTTAGTAAATGCCGGAGAAATAAACCATAGTTGTATCTCTAGGGGATAGCATTGATGAGCTACCTGCGCTTAAAGCCAACTTTATGGCCCACAACAAGGGCTATAAACATCCCCCGCCCCTTCTAAATTGCTACAGCAGAAACATTTTAAAAAAAAACAATTAAAGAATATTTACCTTGGATCCTGGTTTCCTGCTGCTCCACCCCCCCCCCCCCCCCCCCCCGGGGGCCCGCCGAAAAAGGGGTGTGCACTGTAAAGGAAAGTACTCTCTCAAGATTTGGAATCTCAGCCTTCCTAAAATCGCAGTGGTATGGCCATACCAATGCTATACTGCCTCTTTAAAAACATTTTTATGGACCATTAACAAAATGCTCAGGCCTGGACTTGCACCGCAGAGTATTACAGAGGGCAGATTGCGATATCCGCTCAGTTATAAATGAGCCCCTTAGTTATGTCATCCTTGTGACAATATTTTCCTTTATTTTTTTTCTGTTTGCCATAGGAATTTAGGAAGGGATGGGGTCTCCTTTATAGCCCTTACTTGCTGTGGACTGTAAAGTTGGCTTTAAGGGAAGATAACTCGTCAACACAATCCCCTAGAGACACAACTGTCAGGTGGTTAATTTCTCCAGCATCATCCAACAACTGTTTATATGTGGACTTTCCTTTTAAACATTTTACAAATATACACATTAATTCCAAACTCCCCAGTGGTTGGTGACTTAGCATAAAATAAAAGGTGTAAATGTCTCAATAAAATCTGCTTGTAAAATTTAAAGATGATGGTTATTTACTTGATGGAGGACAGTGGTTGGAGTGACAAGCTGCAGGGAACGACGCAGAAGTAACCGCAGCAGACAGAAAACTGATGGCAGTCTATCAGCATGCAAGGAAAAGCTCTCATCGCCCACCGACTCTATGAAAGACATTGGCAGTTTGTCAGAGGGCTTAATCACATGCCGCCATTCAACATTATCTACTAGCCTATGCCTAGATTTACATACAAATTAGTATGCACAGGCTGCACAACCAGGCGGCGTTTATCTGCGATTTGAAGCCCTTCCGCACACTAGTTAAGTGGATGAATAATTGGGAAATAATTGGGTCGCTAGTTAATTTGCTCTTAAGCGTCGCAGAAGCGAGTGCAATGCAGGACAGAACAGCTGCTGAGGACATTACACACAAGGTTAAGCACATTCTATGATAGGTACATCAAAACAAGAGCTTCCGCAGTGCAACGTCCTAGAAAACACGCGGGTGATGTGACATGACATGGCTGAACTCTGCGTAGTGCTGACAAACAGCCGGCAAATGTACATCGGCTAGAGATTCTAAACGGGGCTTGCTCATTGTTTCTAAACTGTCAATAACGTGGTGTAGAGACATAACACAAGTAAAGGATGCTGGGAAAAAAAACCTGTCACCGGGAACAGAGTTGAAGCCGATTTAAGCTGGGGAAAAAATGAAACATTTTCAATAGTCACTTTACTGTTTGATACTAATTGCCTTTTAATATAAATCTTATCAGAACGTGTTAATGGTTTAATACTCTTTTTTATAAATACCTGCATAGTAGTTGAAAAAATAGGATTTTGGTACTCACCGTAAAATCCTTTTCTCTCCGTTCATTGAAGGACACAGGGAACAGATCGGAGATCATGTACTAAAAGCCAACACGGGACGGGGCGCAGCAGAGCCCCGGAAACCGAGTACATAGTACGCGCCACCGCCTCCGCCTTCCTATCCGAGGGATCCCGAAAGGAAGGCGAATCCTCCACCGGGATAACCGTAGCCTTGTTCAGGCGAGAAACCGGCGGATCCACAGCGGGGGGAGTAGACCACTTAGACAGGAAGCGTTTTGGAACGGTAAACGACTTGCTCGGGCGCTTCCAACTCCTTGTAGACAAAATCATCAAAAAAGGGAACGTAAGGGAAAACCTTAGTGGAATGCCTACTCCTGTGCGTCCCAAAAGGAAGCGGCGGGAGCGCCGAAGAACTCGGAGTCTCCTCAATTTTTAACGTTTCCCGCACAGCGCCAACCAAAGCCGTGACCAATTCACGCTCCTGGACCATAAGGGCGGTCCCCGACTCGTCTTCACTACCAGACTCCGCCTGAGAGGAGTCCCCCTGATCATGCTGCGCGGCCGCAGCAGAAATTCCCCCTTCTTCCTCAGAATCCCCAGAAAGGACCGATAAGGGGGCCGGCAAAGCGCGCTTCCGTGGGGGGCGCTGCGTCAGCGCGTGCTCCATACGGGACACAAAACTGTCCATGGTGGAGGAAAAGGCCTCCAAGGACAACATAGCGCCAGTGGACCCCCCCCAAAGACCCCGCAGACACCAAGGGAGACTGGGATAGGGGCGCAGAAGCACAGGCTGCGCAAAGGGGGGTGTGGGAGAGGTCCCTGAAGAGAGGCCGCAGCCCTCACAGGGCACTGCGTCCAGTTTGTCCCCACAGTCCATGTCCCCGGCAAAAAAATATGCCACCAGAACCCAGGGCAAGGAAGGAGACCCCAGCAGGCACCGCCCCCCGTCCGTAGGCCCGTCGCTGCAGTTGCCCCTAGCAACAAGAACGGGAGAGAAATACTTGGATTCAAAAATGATTTGGCTTAAAAGGAGAACTATGAGGTGAGTGCTTTTCACTCACCTCATAGTTCTAGCCGACCTGTGACAATGAGACTGTCACAGGTCGGCTCAGTAGATCAAGAAGTGAGCGGACACATACCGGCGTTCGCTCACCTCTCGATCCTGTCACGGCTCTCTGCCGTGACAGGGGAGGGGCTGGATTCCCCCCTCCGCGCTGACTGGCGGATCGGATGGGGGAGGGGGTGGATACAGCTGGCTCTGCTTCTAGATGGGCAGAGCCAGCTGTCACTCACGCAGCTGGGCGGATCCAGACATAATTGTCGCTTCAGCTGCGGCGTTTCAGTATACCGCGAGCTTTGGCTGGCGGTATACTGAGCTTAGGGTGACGAGAGGATGCTAGTTTGTGTCCTCCTGTTACCCTAAGGAGAACTATGGGGAAAAGCCTTAACCCCAAAGTTCTCCTTTAAGAAGAATAAAATAAATGGGCCCATGATTCAACTTATATGACCACGTGCTTGCATGAATGGGACTTTGGAATAGACAGACATCCTTTTGCTTTGTCTTTTAAATCTGAGAGCAATGTCAGAACATGAGAGTATATTAGTGTGAAGAATGTCTATAGAGAAGATCTGTGCCTTTTAAAATAGGTTGAAGTATGTAATTTAGAAATTTACATGACTTAGTAGTTTGGTCAAGCCATATTGAGAGTATAGAACATCATTACGTCAATATGTAGTGACAATAGACCTTCAGAGAATATGACCTTCTAAGATTAGCCAATAGTTTTTAAAGTAGAATACGGATATAAGGAGAGAGAATCTCTAAGGAAGCACGCATTACATCGGAAGAGGGAAGAATGTCAAGAAGGAGGAAAGAATGCCAAGAGTACAAGTGAGGGGGAAAAGTATGAGGAACGGAAGAATTTGGTCATCCCATATGTAGCTGGGGTGTCTGAGAAACTCAGAATGTTTAAAAAAAAAAAAAAAAAAAAAAATCACATCCCTGTCTGCTTTAAGCCCAGCAATACAGTGAGGCAACTGGTTCACCCAAAAGACCCCAAACACCAAAACAAAAAGATGAACAACATTGTGTATGCAGTCCAATGCAGTGAGGAGTGCTCAGAATTGTATGTCGGTGAAACAAAACCGCAGTTACACCAGCGTATGGCACAGCATAGAAGAGCAAAACACTCTGGTCAGGATTCAGCAGTATACCTATATCTAAAGGAAAGAGGCCACTCCTTTGAAGACAGTCAAGTGCGCATCCTAGATAGGGAGTACGCATCCTGGACTGGTTTAAAGGAGAACTATGGGGTCAGTGTTTTTCCCCATAGTTCTCCTTAGGGTAACGGGATAGCCTTGACTTATTTTTTACAAATATACCATGGCATGGATGAATGAGAACCGTCACGGACACTCATTACAGCGACACTACAGCTCAGAACACTCAGACGCCTCCATTGATAGAGACACACATCTACACAGAAGACTTTGCTGTTATACCTGTTGAAGACTATGATGGCAATAAAGTTACGCGGAAAAAAATAGGAAATTTCTTTTTAAGGTTTCCCAAATTTCTTTTTTAAAGTTACACATAAAAAAAGAATTAAAAAAAACAAATGTTTTTTTTTTAAAAGTCCCCACCCATACATACACGCATGCAAACATGTGTAGGGTGCGCATACCAGCGAAAACGACGATTGCGCCCATTATGCTGCACATGTTACATATCGCCGTGAACGTCGCCGTGAGAGCAATAATTCTAGGGCCAGTAATCACTGATAACACTAAACTGATGAGGGGTAAAAGCCTTTAAAGCGTCGCCTATGGTCAATTTTGGGATGGTAGTTTTTTTGCGATTTCGCGGGTGCGTGCAATTTTTAAGCTTGACATGTTTGGTGTCTATTTACCCGACGTGACTCCGTCTTTTATATTTTACACAAAAAATTGGGTAATAATGTTAAAAAAAACATAATTTTTTCAAAAATTTTTGTAATTTTCCCGAAATATAGTAAAAAAATAAAGTGGTGATTAAATACCACCAAAAGAAAGCTCCATCTGTCCCCAAAAAATGGTATAGTGGACTGGCCAGGAAGGGGGTCTAAAAACCTGGTCTTCAAGCGGTTGAATACATTTTTTTTTAGCCCACAGTACAGTTTTAAGTGTGTTTGAACACACCTGGGGTAAACATAAGTATTAGGAAAAACACACACACACACACACACACACACACAACCAAAAGTATTGGGATACCCCTCCAAATCATTGTATTGAGGTGTTCCAATCACCTCCATGGCCACAGGTGTATAAAATCACGCACCTAGGCATGCAGACTGCTTCTATAAAAACATTTGTGAAAGAATGGGTCGCTCTCAGGAGCTCCGTGAATTCAGGCGTGGTACCGGGATAGGTTGCCACCTGTGCAATAAATCCATACGTTAAATTTCCTTGCTACTAAATATTCCACGGTCACCTGTTAGTGGTATTATAACAACGAAGTGGAAGGCCACATAAAATGACAGAGCAGGATCAGCGCATGCTGAAGCGCACAGTGCGCCGAAGTTGCCAACTGTCGGAGAGCCAATAGCTACAGACCTCCAAACTTCGTGTGGCCTTCAGATTGACACAACAACAGTGCGTAGAGAGCTTCATGGAATGGGTTTCCATGGCTGAGCAGCTGCATCCAACCCTTACATCACCAAGTGCAATGCAAAGCGTCGGATGCAGTGGTGTAAGGCACGCCGCCACTGGATTCTAGAGAAGGGGAGACGTGTTCTCTGGAGTGACAAATCACGCTTCTCTGTCTGGCAATCCGATGGACGTGTCCGGGTTTGGCGGTGCCAGGAGAACGGTACTTGCCTGACTGCATTGTGCCAAGTGTAAAGTTGGTGAAGGGGGGATTATGGTGTGGGGTTGTTTTTCAGGGGTTGGGCTTGGCCCCTTAGTTCCAGTGAAGGGAACTCTTAAAGTGACATTAAACCCTCAGATTTTTTAACATAAAACAATACTGTAATGTGCACCTTACTGTAATCCATGGTTGTTTCCATTCTGTTTGCTGCTCTTCCTTTTAAATCCTCATGTCTTCTCATGCTTGGGGAGAACTTCCCTTTTCAGCTCAGGGCCTCTTCCTGTAGTGCTGGCTCAGGTTACAAGCCTATAGAAACGTATACACAGACACCGTGTATCCATTCCTGAGACAAGGCAGTCTGCTGCAAAACAGAAGTTCTGCCCAGCATGAGAACAGATACAGATTTAAAAGGAAGAGCAGCAAAGAGAGGAAACTACCATGGATTACAGTAAGGCACACATTACAGTATTGTTTTATGTTAAAAAATCTGAGGTTTAATGTCACTTTAAGGCAGCAGCGTACCAAGACATTTTGGACAATTTCATGCTCCCAACTTTATGGGAACAGTTTGGGGATGGCCCCTTCCTGTTCCAACATGACTGCGCACCAGTGCACAAAGCAAGGTCCATAAAGACATGGATGAGCGAGTTTGGGGTGGAGGAACTTGACTGGCCTGCACAGAGTCCTGATCTCAATGCGATAAAACACCCGGCCTTCTCATCCAACATCAGTAACTGATCTAACAAATGTGCTTCTGGAAGAATGGTCAAACATTCCCATAGACACACTCCTGAACCTTGTGGACGGCCTTCCACGAAGAGGTGTGTGTGTGGTTTCTGAACACTTACCGTGAAAACTCCCTTATGAAATCATACATAAAATGTCTGTCCATGACAAATGGGATTTTTGAAGATACTGTAAAAAAAATAAAAACAAAGTGCATTAACCTTAATACCCGATCTCCCTTATAGACATTGATGTCAAGGTTTTTTTTTTTTTCTAAAATTTTAGCTGGTCATCTGGGGAGTCTCCTTCCGGACCTTGTCCTTCCTGACCAGAATGGTTTCATAAAAGGGTAGGGAGACCAGGGATAATGTTCTTCGGGCCACCCATGTCTTTCATTGTTTGCACTCTTCTTCTGATCCTTCTTCGTCTTTTGCCGTCTTTAGACACGGAGAAGGCTTTTGACAGGGTCAATTGGACTGGATGTTTCTGGAGGAGACTCTCTGTGCCTTTGGCTTGGGACCCAATGCAGACTTGGGTTGCTGCCCTGTGTAACAACCCTAAGGTTAAGGTCAATGGCACCCTCTCTGCATCGTTTAATCGGTCTAATCTAAATATTCAGGGCGTCACAAAAGGTAATTCGGAGCATAAGTTGGTGGCATATGCTGATGATGTCCTGCTATTTGTTCAGCATCCGATTTCTTCCCTACCGAATATTCTCCGGGAACTGTCAGAGTATGCAGCAAGCTCTAATTTTAAAATCAACACCTCTAAATCTGAAATCCTTCCCGTTACTGTTCCCTCGACTCGGGTGGCTGCACGTTAACATTTATTTCCCTTCGTTTGGGCAGCACACACCATCAAGTATCTGGGGCTCCAGATATCCAAAGCGCCTCACCAACTTTATTCACTAAATTTTGCCCCACTTCTCACCAGTGTTGAGAGAGACCTTGGCTCTTGGGACAGAGACACGTTTACTTGGATGGGCGATATCAACACATTGAAAATGAATGTGTTGCCGAGAATTTTACTTTTCTTTCAAACGCTTCTGATTAATTAACCACTAAGTTTTGCCGCCGCAAACTTAACACTCTGCTCTTGAAGTTAATTTGGAAAAGCTGTAGATTTAGATTGGCTCATACTATTCTACGACGGAGGAATCTGGCCTGGGTCTCCCAGATCACTCTCATTATAGGGTGTGGCCTTGCAGCATATCCTGGACTGGCATCTCTGTGCCAAAGATAAATTATAGGCGGTTCTTGAAAAGTGTATGGCCAGCAGAAACCTGTCCCATGCTGAATGAATGTCTGCTCTTCATACAAAATGGAAAGGGGACAACCTGTAATGTTACTGCCTGTTATGAACTTTGAAGAGTAATTAGTCCAAAATGCCTACATATATAGAGGTGAATGAAGCCTTCTTTCAAAGTGCTTCTACTGGTTTCTCACAATGTGTAAATACTTCAATGCACATGTCTGGGTACAGGTTTATTTCAAAGGACAACTCCAGGAAAAAAAGGTTCAACTCTTGCAGTGGGGCTACCCATGCACTGAAAGGGTTAACTGCTCATTTTCATCTAGGGACCAAATAAAAGAGTTACTCACCCAAACCTCGGAGCCTCTGTGTCCTCACATCCTACACACAGTATAGAACGTGATGGCTCAGGGACTGTTGGAAGCTAAAACAATTGACATCTATGATACATCTTTGATGGAAAGGTTCCTTAATATCGTGAGCTGCCCGTTGCTGTTTGATATGCAAATGAAGACCATCAAAGGGTTCTTGGGGCTGGACACTGATCAAAGGAGATCTGCTGGACTGTCATGTCCTGGGGCAAGCCCGACCCCCTGCTGGTATTTACTGCCCTCACCTGTGTCAGCAAGGCATATATGCTGGGATGGGGGCAGGGGCATATGATGGAACCTTCTTCCTGTGTGACACTAACCTAGCTGACCAGCAAGACCTTTGGACAAGACAAGTCTTTCTGAACTCTGCAATCAAGAATGTGATTCGCTGAGACCTGCTGGAGAGGCGTGTCCGAAGAACAGAGAAAAACCCATGGCTGGTGTGAATGAGAGAGAGAGAATGGTGTAGCTAGCTGTAGGATCCTTACCCTCAATTCCTATCCCCAATTCCCCTTTCAAATTCCCTTAATTGTAATATGTATGTATATCCCTATTTGTAAATAAACCCAACACTTATTTAAGATTCGGTTGTTCATCAGTAATTTAAGGCACCCCCAAATCAGAGCACATTCTACAGGGACTTTAGACTGCTGGAGCAGAAGGGGAGAGGGACTGGAAGGACCGGTCTAACAACAAGCTGGCAATGAGGATCGGGTGAGTATAACATTCTCATTTAAGTCCCTAGAGAAAAAACGAGGAGTTAACTCTTGCAGTAGCCCCACTGTAAGGGTTAATATTTTTTTTCCTGGACTTGTTCTTTAAAGCCAACCTTTAATAGTGGATGTATGGTTTTAAACACACGCACATTATGGTATACATCATATAGCCCATAGGGCCATATGACAGAGAAGTGTAAAAACGACAACAGTCACTGACATGTTGCCATCAGACATATGGCCGTAGCATGCTGTCAATCACAGCTCTCTCTGAGCAAATGGACATTGTTTATAATCGCTGAAACCAGAGTGCAGCAATACAACTTCTCTCCACTCCTACACACTTTGTAGCCAGATCCTGGCAGGGGTCTTCTGTGTAACCACACTAAAAGTAATATCTCTAAAAGCAATCAATGAGATGCTAACAGACACTTTTTTGTGTAATATTAATGCAAGGTTTGCTTTAGGACTGAGACATCACAGATTATGGCTGTTGAGAAACCTGCCTTCTTTTGATTGAACAGTTATGAAGGCAAAAACACTGATGGCTTATCACAGTTTGCTGTGAAGTCCATCCAGCTGTGGTGAAACTACAAATCACACCATGCTTTTGGAAATCATGCCTGTGGCTGTCAAAATCTTGCAACGCCCTGTGGGACTTGTTGTTCCAACCTGTCCTAGAGGAAGCCAATTCATCAAAAATAACCATTTTCTTCTTTTTTTTTTGCAGGCTTCGGTAAACTATAATAATTTGAGATTAATACCTACTAGATTGTAAGCTCTCACGAGCAGGGCCCTCCTAACCCTATTGTACTGAAATTCTATTTTAACTGTACTCTCTCCCCCATTTTGTAAAGCGCTGAGCAAACTGTTGGCGCTATATAAATCCTGTATTATAATAATAATAATAATCCAATCAATCAACCTTAGGCACTTAGCTAAAATGGTAACATTATTCCCTATTGTTTGTATGAGTTACATCAAATGTGCATTGTGCTCCACGTAAAGTAGTATTAAAGGAGAACTATGAGGCGAGTGAAAATCACTGATCACTGGATCGGGAAGTGAGCGAACACATACCGTCGCTCGCTCACTTCTCGATCATCTCCCTGCAGAGAGCGGTGACTAACAGTCACCGCTCCCCGCAGGGAATCCCCCCCCCCGATCCTCCAGCACTGACTGGAGGAACAGACAGGGAGGGGGCGGGTACAGCTGGCTCTGCCTCTAGATAGCAGAGCTAGCTGTCAATCACGCAGCTGGTTGGCTCTCGACAGTAATGTCGGGATCCGTCCCGGCTGCGGCGGTCTCAGTATACCGTGAGCTGTAGCTCGGGATATACTGAGCTTTGGGTCACGGCAGGATGCTAGTATATGCCCTCCCGTTACCCTTAAGAGAACTATGGGGAAAAACACTTACCCCATCATTTTTTTTAAAGGCTGCTTGTTTCTTACCTTAATGCATTCTCTGCATTAAGGTAAAAAACCGATCAGTACCTTTTTGTCCCGTCCCCCCCTCTTACATGTCGTTGGTGTCGCTGGTCCCTGAATCGATGCTCCCGTTCCCCGAACTTCCTGGTTGCGGGGAGGGGAGGGTACTGAGGGCAGAGGAGTCATAGGCTCCTATGGCTCCTCTGGAGGGGAGTGGCCTGCCGCAGGGCTGTGTGTGTGTCTATGAACACGCACAGCCACTGCAGGAACACACACGTACAGGTGCCACCATAGCACCCACTTAGCTGATGGAGGCACTCGTGCAGGGGGGGTGGGGGCGGAAGAGCAAGGGGGAACCTATAGAAAATGAGCAATAGAAGCTTTTTTGAAGAAAAAGAAAAGATTTATAAGAAGGTGGGCCTCCTAGATTGGAAAAAAAAAAGAAGCTTTAATATCACTTTAAGCACAATGTTCCAACCAAAACTTTGAATGCAGGGCTGATGGCCATGTTACAAATAAAGACATTTGAAAAAAAGAGAGAGACCCAAGAACCAGTATCAAGTTTGAACAAGTAATATACTCACATAAACTGTAAACACTTTTTACATTTCTGTTAGACATTCCTTCTTTCAGTGCGGATAGGAAGAGCTTATTAAAACCTTCAGTAAATCCGATCTCCTGACAAACAAAAATAATTTTTTTTTACATTCGCGTTTTTTTAAAACAGATCTAGAACATTAACACATTAAAAACAAAGCATATAATTTTTGTAGGTGGACGTACTGGGTTTTCGAAACACTGCATTTGAATAAGCTGGAACAGTGTGAGCAGACTGGTAAAAACAGAGGAATTTATCAAAACTGGCGCAGACGCCCATGGCAACCAATCAGTGTCTCTTATTTTCAAAGCCTAATTGCACAAACTGAAGAGACAAGCTGATTGGTTACTATGGGCAACTGCTCCAGTTTTGATAAATTTCCCTTTTTTTCTTTCTTCATGTGTTGCACTGGAAAATGCACCGATGCAAATAAGCCTCTAGACACAGATGTAGACAAAAGATGCAATCTCATTCACTATAATTTCATTTAAGTATTAATATGTTAATGTTATCTCAGAAATGGTTTTCAATCTTACATGTGCAGCTTCAAATCGAAATAATACCTGCTGATCCTGATATGGAGGTCCCTGTTTGGGAACATCCTTTTACAAGGGGCTTTTTGCTTTGCACTGTGGCTCTGGGTGCTAGTAAAAACAGCACCAGCTGTGTCTTCCCCCTCCATTGACATAAACTTGTATGCTTAGCCAAGTTCAGTGAAAATATATGTCGCAAGCCACAGATCATGTGACCTAAAGGCACAGTGGCAGAGCCATGCCAGTTGGGTCATCTGTCAGAACTGACAATATCAAGCTGCTGCTAGTCATGTGACCTAAATACTGGCTTTAGGACATGAGACCCAGAAAGCCAACTTGACAAAAAAAAAAAGCACACCAGCAATGTTTCTGCCACCCAAAAGTGAGAGGAGTTTTGCCCTGTCTCCATGATGAAGGTCATGGTTTAACTAGTAGTAGAAAGTCTCATTCAACTTAAAAGGATATATAAACTACAGGAACAAATAAAAAATGCTTCAGCTTGCCAGACCTTAACCCCAAAAATTACACTAATACAACCGCCAAATCTAACACTTTCAGCAGTTACAGAAAATAGCCGTTCATCTTCCCAGAACTGAACTGATAGCATAACCAATGTTATCTTCCTTCGGTAAACTACTAATCCTCCCACCCACTATGCAATGGAGATGGAGAGGAAAACATGAAGACCAGCGTTGGTGATAATCATGGCTTCCGCCACAGATAGTGGAAGTGAGTGGCCATAGCCACCCAGGGACAGGAAGTGTGTTATTTGAAGGAACAGCTTCAATACATGAGATGAAAGATAAGAAAAATTGAGAAACAGTTGGGAAAAAAAAAGCATTACAAAAAATGCACCCAACTTGTTTTCTAATGTTGAATCGAAGCAGCTTCTATGGTTCTAATGAGTATCAGACGCATACACCAGCATTTATAGCGTCACAGGTAACACAGGTAAATGCTGGGGTATATTTATGAAACTTCGTACCAAAATAAGCTGTTTGGACAAGCAGCAAAACGTCTTCAATATTACAGAACAAGTCCAGTTGAATGTGACTAAATATTGCTAGCGATTTAACCTTTAAAATACACTATATGATCAGCAGATTTTGTTATAAGATCATGTGTTTATACAGAGCAAGTTTGCAGAAAGAGCCAGGGGCATTTGAGGAGGAGTATTTGAAACATGCTAAAGCACCCTTCCGTCCGTCATCCTTCGATCAGAAAATCAAAGGAGCCAGTGTTCGGGTATTCTGACAATGGCACACCCGCCAATGTCAAAAAACAATAGCCCAGTGGGAGATTCGCCCATCCACTCTGTGGAGGAATCTATTAAATGTTTTTAAAATTTGGCCCGCAGGTTGAACTAATATAACAGTGTATAGCAAGTTTAAGGTGATAAATATGCAGCAAACTCTACCACAAATAAGGATATCAGTATTCATTAAAGGGAAAGTTGACTTTCCCAAGTAATTTGGGAAAATGGAATTACCCACTCAAATCCGACCCCCTCTCCCCCACACTACACCTTATTTGGCAAATGCTCCTTCCCTTTCGCAGTTACAGGTGTACTATTCGCACCCCATACTGCCATCAAGTGCAGCCCTGCGCTATGGATTTTGAATTTCGCTCGCAAATTGGGAGCGCTCGTTGGTCAGTGTGGTCACCTGAGGAATGATTGCTCGCAGTTTGCAAGTGGATAGTACACCCTTACTGGCGGAGGGGAGGGAGCGTTCGCCGAGTTAAGTATTGGGGGGGGGGGCTGGATTTGAGCGGGTATAACCATTTTCCAAAATTACTTGGGAATGTGAACTTACCCTTTAAGGAATTCTGTAAATGCTTCAGGGTATGTACAAGTTATAGAGGCCTAAGGACTCCACGGTGAATATGAATATCCTTCATTTACTTGAAAATCAGAAAATCATTTTATTTTTAACCTCTTTTGCTAAAAATTCCTGCCTAAGAGCAGACTCCTCAAGATGTTTACTACCAACTGTATTAACCAGAAAAGCCTTCTCTTGGCCCAACTCTAATTTAGTGTTTTTGCTGGAAACTGACTTTCACCGACGTCATGACTAAGCTCCACCAACTGGCATCTCTCTGACCAGTCCTTCTTTGCCACCGAGATTGCCTCAGTGTACAGTAGTATGGCAGCTGGTAGATATAAGTTCTAAAATCCTAAAGAGTGAGGCACTAGTAAAGTAAAATAAAATCAGAGAGGGGGACAGATCTAAAAGTTATATCTGAGGTGTTTGTTCCTAAACAGGTAAAATGCAGTTGAGGTTCACATTCAGGCAATATACGGTTTCTCATAACACAGCAAAACTCAAACAGCCTGAGACACTGAGAGCTTCCTTTTCAAAAACCACACCAATATTCAAGAAAAAGATGGCCGTACCTCCAGTAAGGATTCGGGAGATTCAACATTTCCAAACAATTTAGCAACATACAACCTAAAGGTATTGAAGTCAAGTTTCACACCCATCTCATGCATCGCTTTGAGAACCTGAAGAACACCTGAAAGAGTGTAAGGAAATGAGAAAGAATTAAATCAGTCTGAAAGAAACACTGTACACTCTATGGTTTATATGGCAAGTGATTGGCTGCTCAACTGTACCATTCAGAAAGTTATAGCCGTCTATTGTTTATAAATGAACATTCATTTTATTGTAGATTAACAGATGGTCTGTGAGCAGTAAAGAGCTTAATATGACTTGTCCTGCTGATCATCAAGACCAGGCATGTCAGTATTTGATGCAATAATAAAAATAAATAAAAAGGGGGGAGCGACAGTTGAACAATAATAATATTGCTACCAGAGATTGCTATATGATACAAAGGAGCGCTGCCACGTAACCAGAGAAGCTAAGCTATCATTAGAGACTGCCGCATGAGAGAATGCAATGCTATTTAGACAAACTGCAATTTACCTGGTTCCTTTTTTAGTTCAGTTTACCAGCTTGCATATCCTAAACTGTTAATCATGCTACCATGGTAGAACAACTGAGGAATTATACTGCGGTCAGATCAGTACATTTTCATAGTCTTACAGCTTGTCCACACCATGTCTGAACCTAACTGTTAAGCACAAGGAGCTCCTCCATAGTGTAAAAACGACTTTATTTGATAATAAAAAGAACTGAAATGTACTCAAAAACAACCAATGGTAATAGGCTTGTAGTGATAAGATCTCAAGAAAGCGGGGGATGGATGGACATCTGAGTTCTGACGAAAGGGGTTCGGCCACAGAAACCATCAACCAGAGGAGTATGCGCAGCAAGAATGACTTAGCTCTTCATCCGCACTTTTAAAGCCTCAGATGTCCGTCCGTCCGTCCATCCTCAGCTTTCGTGAGATCTTATCACTACAAGCCTGTTACCATTGGTTGTTTTTGTGAGTACATTTCAGCTGTTTTTATTATCGAATAAAGTCAATTTTACACTATGGAGGCACTCCTTGTGTTTTTCTTTTTGTGGGCTCTCTTCACACCAGTGCAGTTCATTCTGGTGAGGGGGAAAAACAATGCTGCATGCACTATTTTTTCTGGTATGGAACACATCTAACCGCATCAAAAACATTTGCAAACACACTGGACTGCACCTGAAAGCCCTTTTAAAAAAAATGCACTAGAAAGCATCCAAAATTGCGGGAAAACACGCACTGCAGTGTTTGGAGAAACGCATTCAGATCTGGTCCGGACATGGATAAAAGTATGGTGAAGTTCCTGACAACACCTCCACCACAGTTCCAAAATTTCCTGACTGCCTAAACTTGCCCACCGACTTCTGCTCCTAATGGCCAGTGAAGCACACCATCAAAAAGATTGGCCTATAGAAATGGGTGGTAGACAAGAGGGAGCCATCAAGCTTCCACACTACAACAAGTGTTGAAACTATGAAGAGCAGAACACGATTTTGGAGAGGACTTCTATATGGCTGAAGATACCTGCCGACACCTCCAGGTGACTACGCTTTAGACATGTGAACAGCTTAGATTGTTTTTCCGACAGGTTAACTTTAAAGAGAACCTGTCACCAACTTGAAGAACTGCAGGTAAAAGTAGAGAAAAACTAAGCATTTTAAATGATTACTTGTGGTTTTCCTGTCCATTAATGTTTTTATTTTAATTCATTTGCAATGTGCCTTTGAACCTGCTAGAAAATTAGAATTCTCCAGCAAAAGTCAATTCCCCAGCATACCCCTCTCCCTGCTCCCACGTCATAAACCCCTCCTCTTCTGGGAGTGTCTAATCTGTGCTTTCCCGGATCCTTTGCCCCTCTCTTCACCTCCCTACATGGACTGTTGACATCACATCCAAGATGGTGGTGCCCAGAAGTCTCAGTCCTTTTAAATGTCTACACAAGGGGGTTTGGAGGGGGTAATTCCATTTTCCCCAGATTCATCATTTCTTAGGACAGTGTTCAAATCTAGTTTACAACTGAAGTGAGATCTGCCAGCACAGTACAGACAGGGTTAATTAGATTAAACATAAAACACACACACACACATTACAGGGGGAAGCTAGGAAGGATTTTTAAGTATAATGCACACAAAAAAATGTAAGCAGCATTTTTTATTTTTTTTATGAACATATAAAGAATGCATTATCCTAATTTCGCTGCAAAAAAAAGTGCATTACGCAAGAAGTTGCAGGAGCTATTTTCGGGCCGCTGTTGCTCGGTTTTACACCATAGACACCTCTCAACGCTTAAAAATGTAATCACCTAGGTGTGAACCAGGCCTGAAGGAACATTTTCAGCTGTTGGAGGAATATTTCACCTTGTTAAATTCAGGCTGCAAAGGAGGGTGCTCTCAGTTTCTAGATACGAACATCTAATAAAATGTCCACTGAGTATTTACCAAACGATTAAAAAAAACAAAAAATGAAAAAAGATGCGATTCTTTTTACGAAGAAGATGACTGAATGCATTTTGCCAAAAATGTTCTATCCAGAAAGAGAAGAGTACACTGTGTAACTTTCCATAATTGGAGCCCATCAGCCACTGAAGCATTAAACGCTGTCAAGCCTGAGGGGTGGCCCAGTCAATCTATAATATTTACAAGACTTTGCTTTCATTCCATTATACACACTTATCTTCCTTATGTCAAAAGTTCTACAGGTATTGACATCTCGCTGGTTCGAAGCGGACGAGCTTGAAGGCTGCGGGCCTGCACCCTGGCACAGCATATGGTTTTTGGTTTTTTTCTCAGCTTGCCTCGTGGATTTGTTACTTTTGAAATGCAAAGTTTGAAAAGTCCCCAGCTCTACCCTGGAGTGCCACCTATGGAAAAGTGACACTTCCATGAATATTTTATGCAGTGCACAATGGTGCAAATAATACGATGTGAATTCCCTCTGAGCACTTAAAAATACATGCAGACAAGTCACACTAAATTAAAGTCGCATCAGCTGCTCAAGTTTGCCTTAAACTAAACGCCTGATTTTGGCTTGAGACTTGTAAAGAAAGAAAAATCTCATAGCACATTAATTATGGCCTTCTGTCTGGATACACTCTATATTCTCACAGTGCATGTCAGCGTGTATGAGACACTCGGTCCGTTTTCACAGCAGCACTAAACGGCTATTAGAGACCCCACCAAGGGGTCAGTGAACCCGGTCAATTAAACAGCTCACCGCTCTTCATATAACTTCAAGGGAACCTGTCGGCATACAAAAATAGGAGATGCCCTTACCGGCAAGTTTTTAAAGGAGAAGACTTCACTGCAGTCAGCCTGATTCTGCATCCATTAGCTTGTAAATCCCTGCCGTGGAACAACCAGGCAGGACAAAGTCCAGAGTGCTCACGCTTCACTTGCTAAAGGCCTGTTCACACCATGTCTGGATCATATCCAGACCAGAACAGTTTGTTCCCGGACCATAAAAGTATCCCAATGTATCCCTATGGTATTTCTGGGCTCTGTTCACACCAGCACAGTCCGTTCCGGACCAGATAGAAAAAAAATATTGCTGGTCTCATTTTCTCTGGTCTGGAATGGAACGCACCTGTAAGCCCATTTTAAGCTAAAAAGTCAAAATCTCAGTAAAGTCTGAGTGCCCACAACCAAGAATGGGCCCGTGGCCCAGTGCCCCGGCACTGAAAGGAATTACCAGGGGATTTGGTGTTCTGCTACTTCCCGCTGTGCAGCCTGTGCAGGGAGCTAGAGGACAGAGAACCCGCCCGGGGGGGGCGAGTCGTGGCCACTCAGGTACGGGCTACCACTGATGGCGCCCCTGCAGCAGCCAGCTGTGGCACCGGACTTGGAAAGGGGCAAGCAGGACTCAGGAGCTGGCACCAGAGAGCTCGGGTGCAGGGAGTTTAAGAATGCTCCCCCGCCCAAGGTGAATGCCTGGATCTAGAGCAGTGGGGTGCATGGATTTTAGGCGGGTGAAGCACCTATCTTTTAACATAGAGGAGTGCAAGGCATGCTGAAAAAAAGGATCATTCTTTTTTCAAATACCCAAGTAATGTTGTCATTGTTCACAACTGGTGATAAAATACTGCTGCCCAGTACAAGTGAGCAGATGCTTCTAAATGCCATAACTTCTGTTACATATAACGCATGCCATAACTTCTGTACTTTGACTCTGTATAGGAGCAATAAAGACCGGTCACTGTTGCACTCTCTCCTTGCGCAGAGTGAGCGTGCATGGGGGGGGGTGCATTGCGCATGTGCGGGAAAGCAGGTCCATAATTTTTGACTCGGCTGTGATTGCCAACACATGGGTGCCTGGGGGGGGGAAGCTACAGTAGCTTCCCCCCACAAGCACCCATGTTAATTTCTGCCCCAGTTGTGAATGTTATGGGCCCACTGCCCTGAAAATGCACACTTGCCAGTGAAATTTCTGTACCTGATCAGCAGCTCTGAGCTGGCACGTTCAGCAGACCCCCCCCACCCCTTTTTCCTTGATGTTTCCGATGTTAGTGACAAGCGGGTCCAGATTTCGAATGGGTAGGGGATTCCACCAGTTCCTATCAGGCCATGGACCGATGCCGGTCTGCTGCCTGGGTGTTGGGGACCCCTGCTCTACACAACTGCCTAGGTTACAATAGACTCAGTCCAAATTTAAAATGGATTCTTGAAATGCATGCAGAGAGACATAAATCAGGCCCTTGACGTAGCCTCTTACCGTGGGACTTGTTACAAAATTACAATGTTCAATCTAACCATTGGGGGAGAGTAGACAGAGGAAATACCTTCTCCTGCCTGCAGCAAACCGATGACATCCCAATCTAGACATGTGGCCTGACTGGGGAACCAGGACTGCTTTTTAATGCTAAGAGGTAGAGCCCATTGGAAAAATAAAAATGTTGCTGTGAAATCTCAGGAATTTACTCCTGCAGAATTGTAGTTACGTCCACTTGAAAATCCACAGCTCGTATATGTATCTACAAATACCATATTACTACATTCCTGTAAATGAATCTGATCATATATCATTGTTATTCATTGTTTAATTACCTCTGGCCGCATCAAACATCTTTCATTTTTATGCAACTGCAAATAGGTAACAAAATA